TGATCTGGGCTCTCCCAGCTTTGCCACTAACTGACATGACGGCAGTCCCTCCTGCCCAGGCCCGTTTCCTCACCTGTAAAACAGATGCATAAAGTATCATTAAGGATCTTATCTACAAAGTCTATGAATCTATGAATTCAACCAAGACAGATTATTTTTTTAAGAAGACAAATCGAAAGCAAGCACATGCGCGCGCACACACACACACACACACACACACACCAGAGGACTGAAAGGTCACATGTGAGTGCTCTGAGATGACAGAATGGCAAGGCCAGGCGCTAGTCACAGACAGCTGCTCCAAAGGCTCCATGTTGTGCTGAGGAAGCGAGTACATTCTGAGGAAGGTGCAAGACTAATCTCCCTCTCCATCCCAGTGTCTGGCACAGGACCTGGGTCCTAGCAGGCACCTGTCGAGGTCCCTAAGCCAACGTTGTAACACTCCCAAGACCAGAGCCCAAGAGTCTTCGAGCCTGCGATCACCATATCATGAGGCCTCTTGCCGTCTTGCAGGAGACAACATTTTTTAAAACAGCTAAAAGGCAAAAATAATCTGAGGGTGAACAGGAGGAAGATGACAGGACAAGATACAAAGTAACTTGTCAAAGGCGTGAACAACGGCCTTCTGAAAAAGGCGCTGAGGAGCCTGGCCCGGGGAGTCAGCGTGAGGTTAGCGAAGTAGGATGAAATAAGCGTGCCGGCGCGGTCTGTAAGACACAGCGTGACTGAGAAACATAAAACCCCTGGGATGATGAAGGGAGTAGCAAGCAGAAGATCATCAATGAATCAGACGGATCAAGGGTAGGAAAGACTAGGTGGTGAAACGAGGAAGAAACGGGGAAAGAGCCCTGAAGAGCACACAACAGTCTGCCTTATGACCTCCCAGTAAATTAAAAACAAAACAAAACAAAAAACCGAACAATATGACCTTTGGGAAGGCAAAATGAATCTTAAAAGGATAAAAACCTCAGAGACAGATCACGTTTACTTTTCAGTAACCTTCACCTCACTCAGAAAGACTACATTTACAGCCTTGGGAGCCGATGCAGTGACATGAGGCGCTCCTGGGTCCTAACTGGCCAGAGGGAAGACCATGCACCCTCTCCCCGCCCGACCTCTACGAAGCGGCCAACAGCTCTGCTACACGCCCTCTCGGGATGGAACTGGGGAGAGGAGCCCACGCAGAGCAGGAAAGTGATTAAGCACCATGGTATTCGCTCATTGTTCGCCTCGGCACTGACAAAGCGCCAAAGTGGCCGGACGGGGAAGGGGCGCACAAAACAAGGGGCTTCGATCGCACAATGGTGCTGAGAACACTCACAAGTGTCCCGCGACCATTTCCTCCCCTGGGTGCGTCAGTATGAACAGTCTCAAAATCAGGCATTCTTCAGAAACTGTTCTCAGACAAAACCAGGAGCAACAAAGTGTAAACAAGATACAGATGATTATTTTTAAATCTATAATAAGCCAAGATCCACAAGCCCATCCACAACAGGCGCGCAGAACTCAGAACGGAAAAGGGGTGTCATCATTGCACCGAGCCCTGCATAGCTCTGCATAGCCTCGCTCCCATGCATACTGGTTTTGGGATCTACACTTACTCATTTATGAAAGAGCAGAAATAATAATAATAATAATAATAATAATGTCTACTTCATAGGGTTGTTGTGAGGATTCAATGAGATCATGCAGGGGAAGCATTTTAGCAAGTGTTCAGCAAATATAAATACTCAAAAAAATGTCTGGGTTATTCCTTTAAAAAGGCTAGAATAACATTTGGGACAAATTCCCATGGAGAAATAACCATATCTTTCTACCTCTCTCCAGAACAGTAAAAACAGTATTTCAATTTCTCCTCATTGAATAAAATGGCAACTGAGAAATAACAAGTGCCTGATTATAGTCTCATAGCTTAAGGACTGAAGATAACATGAAGAAAAGACACTACTGTCTGTGACTGAATATAGTAATCAGCCAAAAAGCTAAAGCAGAAAACAAGTAACCCTTTTAGTAATTCAAGGTCTTTCTTGACAACAGAAAGAATACAGCTAGGAACACACTACGTAAACTGAAAGGCAACTAGAGTCAGATATAGTGTCGGAGTTTGTTAATTCTTTTATCAAGTCCTAAACATATCGACCCACTCTATGCCCAGCACAGGTCAACTAATTTCACAGAAAGCAGGATCCAAGACAAAGAAGCAAAACTAACCAGGAAGCCAGGAAATTCAGACTATTTCTGCTACCAAATTTTTAGCCTCATCTGATACCAACTGGTACAGATCTCTAACTAGCCAGAAAATCTTTTAAAACTTTCAGTATCAAAGCTCAATGTCAGAAAAAAAGGTTAGGAAAAGCAATTAAGAAATGCTTTTCATCCAAACTATACTCTTACTCCATTAATATTCTTTATACTCATGACTTCTAAAGTAGCGAAATTAAATATAATTATTATTTATAAATCACATCATTGTCAGTAGTTTTACAATTTTCAAAATTAATTTGTAAAATAGTAGCTTTTTCCCAGCTGGTGTGGCTCAGTGGTTGAACATCATCCTATGAACCAGGAGGTCATGGTTCGATTCCTGGTCAGGGCACATGACCAGGTTGCCGGCTCAATCCCCAGTGTGGGGCATGCAGGAGGCAGCCAACCAATGATTCTCTGTCATCATTGGTGTTTCTATCTCTCTCCCTCTCCCTGCCTCTCTGAAATCAATACAAATATATTTTAAAAGTAAAAAAGCAGTTTTCATTAATAAATTAAAATTCTTAAAATAAAAAACATGAGAAAACAGAATTGAAAGCAATAGTTAAATGTAATAAAACTACCAAGTAATGAAGGGGTTGGGGGTGAGAGGTAATCAACCAAAGACCTGGTATGCATATATACATAACCCAAGGACACAGACAACAGGCAGGTGAAAGAGGCCTGGGATGAGGATGGGAGGAAGGGAGCCTGTGTAATACTTTCAACAGTAAAGAATTATTTTTTAAAAATTACCAAGTACAAGTATTCAAATAATTATTAAGATATTACTTAAGATGTAAAAATGGATTTTGCTTATTTTGACACTTCTTCAAATCAAATAATTTTAATGTGAACTATAAAGCAATTATAAATGCAAATTCTACAAAAGATAATTTTCTTAAAAAATCATATCTAGGAAAATATAAATTATACCAAATAGATAAGTACTTGAAAATGTCTTGACTTTAAACTACTACTTTATAAGTTCAGTCTCAGAGCAGAAAGATGTGAAGATTTTCAAAGTTAGGAATTAAGTGAAATAGTATCAAATAATGTAATATTTTGGTATCTAAAGATCATTTTAAATTTTTATATAAATTAATATGCTAATTAAATTATGTATTGCCAAACATTTCAGAGACACTAAAACTAGAGTAAAATAATGAATCCTAAAAATTTATAAATTCTTTCCTTATACTTACGGATACTCTAAACTAAGTACACAATAATAATACAATTTCTTGGCATACTATGGTTTTTACTCAAACTTGTATTATATTAACGAACAATTAACAAAACTCTCCAGGACATAAAGGAATCAGGACTCGACTCTTGATTTTATTACAGTAACTGTTGGGTCATGATACACCAAAAACCCACTGCGAAATACAAACAATAGATAATGGTAAAATATTAAAAACTGGATATGTATTTCTCTAAGCGATACTATCTTTCATAAAATAAATGTGTTCCACTTCATAATTCATAGGTGTAAATTATTAAAACATTAACATGACACAGCCAGGGTTCTCTCCGCCTTCCAATGGCTTTCCATTGTATAGCCCTACACTAACTGTTAGAAATGCTCTCTGCAATAAAGTAAAATGCAAAGTAATAGCAACTATCAACAAATTACATTTACATTCGAGTATGTGTACAAGGCAAACTTCATCCTTTCAAGCACAACTACTTAGAAAAGGAGGGGGCAGGTACGGATCAGCCCCTTTGCCACTTCTCTGCTACCTTCTTTCAACTTTAGGAAAATGGTAACTTGGTTTGATATGATAAATTTCAGATTCCTACAAGATATTCAGGTAGAAATGTCTAGTGGGCAGTTGGACATATAATAACTAGCATTTACTCAGGATAACGCTAGACTTGCACATACATGATTTCACTTAATCCCGCTGGAGCTCAAAGGGGTATGTTCCCAGTGGCAGCAGCAGGAGTCAAACAGAGCTCTTCACCAACAGCTCTTAACACTCTGTTCAGCCTCCAAGGGTTGGCACCTAGCAAAAAGACCCAAGGTAAAAGTACACATTCGCAAGTTGATCTTTCATTCAGGCATCCATTCAGCAGAAATGTATTAGGTTCCTAATGTTGGACGTAAGGATACCAAGAAAACAAAGTCACGTTTCCTAGCCTTAGAAAACCATACCACAAACCGACATGAAAACAAACAAAACAAAAAAATACTATGGCATGACGTACTAACAGAACTCACTAAGAGGAGTAATACTAACTCAAAAAGGAGAGAGGAGTCAATCCCACATTGGAGGAGAGGAGTCTTGAGGAAGGTTCTAAGAGAAGAAGACAATGCTTGACCATGATTTTGAAGGATGAGCTTTAAAAAAATCCCCCAAGTGTACAGAGAAAGAAGAAAGGAGGGCCACTCTGCAAAAAGGCAGTGGATACACAGAAGCGCCAACGCCTCAAACAGCACAGTCACCTCGAAGAAACGCACACTGATTAACAGCATCATTCTAGTCCCTACCCCCACCCTCTGCTCTTCCAGACGCTGAACAACAAGACAGGGAGATATAAAGTTTTCTGCTCTCTTGGGTGTCACTTTTCAAAGAGAAGATCTACTCCTCCGACCACCCCTCCCGAGGGCGAGTGGCTAAGGGACAGGACAGCCTGCCCTGCCCATCAATAGCAGTGACAGTGACTACCCTGTTGGAAACAGCTCCTCAGCACTGTCGCTATGGACCACCTCACCCCGTATTTTGTTTCCTTGGTAACGTTTGTTATACCTAAAATCACACTGTCTGCTCATTCTTTTTCTTGCTTGTTGCCTGTCTCCCTCATTAGAAGTAAGCTCCAGGAGGCCATGGGCTTCGTCCATTTCATCCGGCACGGTGTCTATAGCACGCCTGGCACGAGGAAGACACCTTATCGGCTGGTGAATGAATACTGTTTTAGCTTACCCAACATTTATTTTTAAAATTAAAATAAAAAAAACAACAAATCAAGATAACATTTCATTGTATAAAACACTCAATGTTTTCTTCCATATCTAATGGTATTTTCATGTCCCCAAAGAAATTTTCTAATGCTCTAAATAGCAACCCTAAGCCCCCAGTTTTTTCACTGCAGAATATGTTTGAAACAAAACAAGTCTCTAAGATTAGCGGCTACAAAGTTTACCTCTGCTCTATTCCCACCCAGATATTTCATTACAGTATCTTTAGAGCAAAGAGAACAAGCTAGCAATTCTGGGCAAAGTGTTATACCAACTACAAACTGATGTTGTTTCACTGAAACATACATAAGGAAAAATGAAAGGAAATTATTCCATGCTTAAGGAAAAAGTCCAAGTCCTGCTCATAAAACAAAATAATATCTAAGGTAGAAAGAAAAACATGACTAATTAATTAGAGACCAAATGATGCACGATAGCTGTAAAAAGTCACCATTATTGATTTCAGAGAGGAAGGGAGAGGAAGAGAGAGACATCGATGAGAGAGCATCACTGATTGGCTGTCTCCTGCCTGCCCCACACTGGGGATGGAGCCCGGAACCTGGGCATGTGCCCTGATCTGGGATTGAACCATGACTTCCTGGTTCATAGGCTGATGCTCAACCACTGAGCCACACCGGCTGGGCAAGTTACTAATTTTTAGATTTAGTATCACTGAGGATAGCAAAGGCACAGCGACCCAGCCTTGCCAAAACTGCATTTACATAACACATCTGGGAAGGCAGTATCTTGGGGATCTCTTTCTCCTACTGACCCTTTCACTTTTGGGTTCTTTGGGCCCCCTACCTCTACTTTCAGAATCCCAGGTTTCAGGCTCCGTGTGTCACAGATGGGGAGGTCTTTCTCTGGCATTTTAGGCTTGAGAAGCTAGGGGGAACTAGTACCACAAGCTTAGCAATGCCACTCCGAGCCTGATTAAAGGTTTTGAACAAATAGATCAGGATTCAAGAGGCAACTTCATAAGTTCAAATACTATAAAAAAAAATTACTGTTACTATGAATCTATTTCAAGACTAATAAAGGTTCAAGTAAGACCTAACTGCTGCCTTGCCATTTCTCAATATAAATGCCAAGGAAAATTACACAGTGAATCCACTCTAACCCTTTTTATAGGGGAGTTACATGAAGAAGCCTTTAAACCCCTTTAAGGATAAATTCATTTTCTGAAGCCAAGTGTTAACACCAATAAGTAGAGGATTTACATTTAATCCCTAAAAGCAGATAGGCAGAAATTACCAACCACGCTATATAACCTTTAAACTAAGTATTTTATTTGATCAGACTTGTATAATTGGGTGATTTAAAGGGTGAAAATTTTTAAAATAAGAGATATAACATATTGCCCCTGATATTCTAAAGCAAGCTTTCCAGGATTGTATACTTAAACAAATGTTTTAGGGTTTATTTAGTGTCTTTTTTCCAAGAGTAGTCACTGGAAGTGATCAAACACCTATGCAGTCAATACTGTCATTTCTTGAAAATATTTTGTACCACTTATCTGAGAACACTTTCAATGTCAGTTTATAAGCTATATCCTTTATATGTGCAAATAGACATTACAGTAAGAAAACACCCATCTACTCACAGGCCAAACACAATATAATGAGTAGGCTATAAATGGTAAGATCCTATTTGTTTCTATTAACTGCTCCCTGGTGGCCCGGCAACCCAGACTGCATTCTCTTTCCTGGATTCCAGCAGCATGTGGTCAACGAGATCTATTGCTCTGATAATTTTTCTTTAGAAATAACAAATCAAGACAGAATTTCTATTATTACAAATCATTATAGCTGGTTTGTGGTGATTTGCATTGCCATGTTATCAATACCATAAAAGGTATGTGCCCTTTAGAAAAATGGACCCCTTTGTCTAATCATTAGACTTTAAAAATAAAACTAGCATTCTTTCATACAAACAAAATGAAGGGGCAATATACAAGGTCTCAACTGATCAAAGCAAAATGAAAGACCATAAAATCAATAAGGAAATAGATCTCATAATTGACCGTTGATATTTATGATAAATTTTAATCAAGTGAAATTAATAGGACCATTTAAAATGAAAAATCAGCCCTAGCCAGTTTGGGTCTGTGGATAGAGCCTCGGCCTGCGGACTGAAGGGTCCCAGGTTCGATTCCAGCCAAGGACACATGCCTATGTTGCGGGCTCGATCCCCAGTCGGGGGCATGCAGGAGGCAGCCAATCAATGATTCTCTCTCATCATTGATGTTTCTCTCTCTCCCTCTTCCTTCCTCTCTGAAATCAATAAAGAAATATATTTTTAAAAATAAATAAATAAATAAAAATAAAATGAAAAATCAGAAAACAAAAAAATATACAAAGACTCAAAGAATCAAATATTCCAAACTTGTTTTCACCAGTCAGTCATATTCTAGTCCAGTGGTTGGCAAACTCATTAGTCAACAGAGCCAAATAGCAACAGTACAACGATTGAAATTTCTTTTGAGAGCCAAATTTTTTAAACAAACTATATAGGTAGGTACATTGTTATTAACTTAATTAGGGTACTCCTAAGGCTTAGGAAGAGCCACACTCAAGGGGCCAAAGAGCCGCATGTGGCTCGCGAGCCGCAGTTTGCCGACCACAGTAGTCTATCAAGTACTCAGCCAGAGGGCTGATGTCACATAACTGCCTGACACCTGCCTTTTCCAGCTTCACTGACAAATCAGGAGGAAGCTGTTTACAAGTCAATCTGTGCTTTTAGGCTCAGCACAGCTCAGCTACCTCTCAATGCACCCCCTTTTCATTTTTTATTCTACAACCCGTAAGAGATAAGCAAAAATAAGAAAAAAATACCCTGTAAAAAATCACTAAAATATATATTTAAAAAAAAAAAAGAAAGAAAAAAACACCCTTCATTAGTGCACCAGCCAAACATACATAAGCACCAACGTTCTGATGTATTAAAATGGCCACTTCTGACGCTGTTTCTTTAAGACAAACAAAACCCCAGCCTCCTTTTCTGTTCTGCCTCTTCCTTCTACTTCTCTCCCAAACATTTCAGTGCTGGATGATCCTGAGCAGCATTATGCCTTCCCCATGAAAACACCTCTGAAGGAGCTGCACACAGTGCTGGTCTTGAGCAGAATCCCATTAGCGTCCTGGGGAGAAGCCCCCCACTCCTGCACATGGACCCCCACCCCCCGAGCTGGAGTGCTGGGATTGCCACGGAAACGGTTTCCACTGCGCCATGCCTCCTGCAAAACATCACTTACTGTGCCGGGCATATGACTTCTCTCATTCTTCCCGTTCTGAGAGCTGCCATTCTTGAGTTTCTTTTTTTTCTTGGCTGTTTCTTTGTGCTCCTTCTGTTTGTTTTGCACTTCAATGAGAACAGAAATAAAGCTGTTTTTCACTTCCTTTTCAAACTCTAGTTCATCTCGCAGGGCCAACTGCTGCACCAGCTCTTCGGAGTATTCCTTAATGGCAGTCTCAATTTCTTCCAGGAGTTCATTTAACTCAGATACTGGGAGTCTTTTTACTCCTGTGACCAAAAGGAAAGCACAGCAGATGCTAAGGCAAAAACGTTTCAAGTGAGCACAACAGGTGCTCCGTGCCAAAGAGCGATACCATATTCTAAGCCAGGGGTGGGAACCTCTAGCCCGTGGGCCGTATAAGGTCCACAAAATCATCTGGTCTGGCCCTGCCAAGGCACTAGGGGTGAGCTAATTAAATGTCTGACCAAATACAGCAGGCTGATTTTTAAGTTGATGATTCTGTATGACCAGAGAACAATGTTATAAATATCCAAATTGCCCTTGGCAGAAAAAAGGTTCCCCACCCATGTTAAACAATTAACTTGTTCGTGATCTCAGAATCCTAAAACTTCTGGTGGGCAGGTGTAAAGTAGAAGTGGGTGGGCAAAGTTACTTCTCAGAGGGCTGAGAAGAAACTTTTATGTCTAAATCAATCATCCCATGAATAATACTTCAGTCAAGACGGAAACAATTGTACAAAGGAAAGAACGAACACAGGGAAAAGCCGAGGGAGTACAGAAACTACCTGCTGACAAGAAATCGCAAGCAAGCTCGCAGGGTTCTGGCACACTTCTGAAGAGAGACGTCCATTTGAAAGAGTTAAACTGAATGCATATTTAATCACATGGGCCCAGTGTGTGAATGTGACTGAGTACTGCGAAGACGAAAGGAAGAATATTCGCTGGAACCCGATTTGAGTTTTCCTCAGCCCATCCCCTCATGTGAGAGATAGGATGTCGTGGAAGTCCTCACGTCCAGTAGCCTCAGATTGTGACTGCTTTGAAGGAGGGTCCTCAGAGAGAATTAACTGAAAATGAGGTCATGAAGTGGGCCCTAATCCAACGTGACTGTTGCCCTTATAAAAGGAGACCAAGAGATGCTCACAGAGAAAGCCCGTGAGAGGACAGAGAGAGACAGCCATCTGCAAGCCCAGGAGAAACCCACCCTGCTGACACCCTGATCTCGGACTTCCAGCGTCTAGAACTGTGAGGACATCAATGTCTGTCGTCTCAGCCACCCAGCCTGTGGTACTTTGTTTCAGCAGCCCTAGCTGAATAACACAGGATTCAACGGTGAATATGACATAGTCCCTGATCAAAATATGCCCAAGCATTAGTGGAAAGCGGAGAAGGCCATGCAACCCACCTTGAGAATCAAAGACTGCCGGGGATAGGCACACCATGTGTGTGACATATACAAAAAAAGCACAAAGAGCACTGACTGAAGGAGGGTTTCTTACTCTCTTCATAGCTGCTTGTGCTAGACCTCTTCAGAGTTTGAATTTCCTGGGAGAGCATCGAAAGCCGATCTGACTGTGTGAGTGCTTCATCGTCTTCCGGGTCAGGTGACTCCTGCATCATTTCTTCAATTTCTTCAATAACCTTCCAAAATATACACGCCACTGTTAATCACATATACGTGGACAACGATCCCCCCGAAGCACGGCGCTCGCGCGAGGCCACCAGAGTGGAAATGCACTGAATTCTCCATTAATCCACAGTGCGCAGGCGTGGGCGCTCTCAATAATCACATGTTCATTGTAAGGAGGAACACAGTTTATCCACAAAAGTACAACATACTAAACACATACAAACAGGACATGATGTACTGTGCCCATCATGATTCAGGAGGCCCTGCCAGATCTTTCAATGTCTGGGAAATGGCGCTACAAACACATGCACAACTGACTTCAGGCGTGCCAGCAACAGACCATAGTCACAGTCACACAAAAGTAAAGGATAGAAAATTCATCACCTACCACAAGCAAGTGCTCAATCTAAAGCCACTTCATCAAGTTGACATAAGATTTAGAAAATACAACCGTATAAAAAAGTTACATATAAAGCCAGAAATTACCTCTGTAGCAGCAAAATTCTCCTTTAACATCAGGAAAAAATTTTCATGTATTAATTCAATGGAAGGTGAAGGGATATTCAAACGTTACTTAAAATGCAAAAGATTAAAGAGAAAAAAGAAAGCTGCACAAAAGCAGAAAAATTTCAGAAATATATCTGCCTTGCTGGGTAGGCATGGCTCAGTTTGATTCCTGGTCAGGGCACATTGCCTGGGTTACATGCAGGAGGCAACTGATCAATGATTCTCATCATTGTTATTTCTCTCTCTCTCTCTCTCTCTCTCTCTCCCCCTTCCTCTCTCTGAAATCAGTAAAAATATATTTTAAAAGAAAAATATCTGCCTTAACTTAAGCAATTATTTACTGTCATAAGCAATATTGCTCAAATTTTACAACAGCATCTTGTCCAGTTCCAGATTCCAAAAGTTGAGAAGGAGACAGAACTCAAGAGAAAAATATAAGGAAAACCAGAAAAATTACTCATTAGGGAAAAAAAAACAGACCTAAGAATTTAAAATAAAACATTATTAGAAAAAAACACAATGCGAATCAACATGTAACACTTATAATAAGGAAAAACAAAAGTAAGCCTGAAGGAGGTGGGGAGTATGTCAGTTAGCAAGAATATTTTCCAAAAATAGGCACTGAAAACAGTAAGATGAGGCACTGAGCTAGGCTATGCAATCTGCTTCTCTAAATCTTAAAAGCAGGGAAAGCCTGTGCCATGCAAGCAGATGACTGCGGAGTCGATGATTCTCGAGGTCACGTTTCCCTGGAATACCTCGCTCAACCCCACTCAGCCCTCTAACCTATTCCTTGCTTTTTAAGCACCTCGCTCTCCCCAGGCCTAGAACAATCCAACCACAAATATGACTAAGGAGCACCAAAATGACACATTTTAAATGAACTCCCAACCTGACCATAATATATCTCTTGACTGACCTTGCTTTCCCAGCCTAAAAATACAGTGGGGTAGAAGTCACAGTCCAAGTGGCCACGGAACGTTTATTTCAGGAAGAAGTTTTGCGTCGCATTTTGACAATACAGAAGAGGTGGGAAGAGTATTCAGAAAATGAGAGAGCTGATTCGACTGGTTCTAAATGAATTCAGGGCTGACATTACAGCGCATTCCATAGGAATAATGCCCACTTCTTTCCAGAGCACACAACATGTACATCCAGTACGTGCTAGTGATTTTGCATAGGTTTGGGAGAAACGAGATGATGCCTAACAGATATATTATAGATTACCCATGTCTGGCTAGATCTAAAGAAAAAAGAAAATCACAATATTCTTTGTGATTTCGGTATAAGCAATAACCCTCCCTTAGTAACTCACTGTCCTGTTTTAACAATGCTTAGCTTGGAAAACTGCCTATATTGGAAAATCTTCCAACTCCCATAATCCCACCTGCTTCAGAGTTCAGAGACGTTCTTCTCCTCTCGGGGGAGGAGGCAACTATTAAGCTACATAAGCAGAAAATAGAGGAAAAACAAGTAAATTCCAATAACCCATCACTTGTTGCCATAGTAACAAATTGTGTTTCAGCTCAAGGTTCCCTTTCCCTTTGCGTGAATCTCTCCTCTGTACCTGATCTGCAGTGAAGAGGGGCTCGTCGTTAACACAGGAGACGATGATCGAGTGCATATCCAGCTGTTCTCTCAACTCCTCCTCGTCTGATGTGTCGAAGAGCAAGCTGTCACTTATCTAAAAGCAAAAGAACCCACGATTAAAGGCCGGACCTTCGGATCACAACCAAGTCAAAGGGTCTGGACAGAGACGATGGCAGAGGAAGCATCAGCTGAGAACGTCCCCTCCGAAGGGAGAAATTATCACAGTTGCCCTGTGCCAGGCGGTGAGTGAAGTGCTTTACATATTCCCCTCCCACGCAAATGAGAGCAACACAGAATAAGTAACTATGAAAGTGCTAAGGGCTGCAAGCATCCCATAGTGCCCAACACAGAGACACACTAGCTGTTTTTCCCACGGGAGAGGGAGCTATCAGAGCTGACGGATGAGTACAAAAAGAGAGGGATAGGGCATTAGTTAGAAGCTGTAGGGAACGACAGCAAATGCGGGGCAGACAGCAAACGTGATTCTGTTAACCTAACAGTAAGACTGGTACACATTAACATTCCACGGAAAACGTAGTTACTTGCAAACTAACTTCTAGCATTCAGAGTGAAGCCCAAGTGATCAACCCCTTGGCAGACAGGAACTGTCCGTGAGGGTCGCACTTAGCCCTACCAGCTGAAATCTCTTCTCCCAAATAAGAGGATCTCTGGGTTCCAGAATATGTTTAAACCTAACTGTGTTGGAGACTGTCCCACCTCCATTTTCCACACTGCTCTGTGCCCCAGAAGGCCGGCCTTTATGGACTACATCAGAGGATGCCCGTGACCTCAGACTTCCAGGGGGTGAAAGACCACTGGTGGACACTAGCGAGAGACTGAAGGTGGGAAGATGAGGGCTGGGCATTTATACGGCTGTCTCCGTCGCTGCCAGACCAATGGCCGCAGCTCCTGTCAAGCAGCTACTCTCTCCAGCGTCTGGTAACTCCTTCCCCTCTTCAATCTTCATGCCAAATGGTGCCGGTCTGCTTGCTATTGGCAGCCGGGGGCATCACACCAGGCCTAGTGGTGTCCCTTAACCCTGTCCATACCAACAGAAACAGCCCCTTTCCAATGACTTGGGGTTTAGTACTGGGAGTCACTGTGAAGACCTTGCCTGGAAAACTCAGCAGATTTAAATGCACACGTGACCATCTATCTGTCACCTAGGTAACATGACATGACTATCCAGATGAGGAAAGAACCAACATTAGAACTCCATTCTTCAAGGAGTAGCACACACTGAGTTCCCAGAGAACAAATGGGCAGCAATGAACCATGTAAGAAGCAACCATGTGTTTCCATCAGCTGGCACATAATTTTAAAAATAGCATTTTACCTGGGAAAGTTATTTTATTTACTAGTGCAGAGAATACACATAACATTGAGGATACAATTGAATATTGTAGCTCCCTACTTCCTCCCTAGTTCCTCATACAGGATCATAAGAAGTTTAATGGTGAACAAAGCCCACAAGGTAAGAAAACTGCAAGTGAGGCGCGCAAAGGAACACAGGTGTGCTGCCTTTCAGAACCTGAGGATGGGAGAGCAGCCGCGTCAGCACTGCAGGCTCTACCTACTCCCACAGACTGCAGCTCCATGCTGTACCACAGGGATGACACACCTGCTCATTCTGTTTCTCAATGCACCGTCAGCCTAGGAGGCCTGGCCATGGCCTTCTGCATGTCATTGTGAAGTTTCAGAACACTGTGTGAGAAAAAGAACCTGAAAGCTCCCAGGGGGAAAAAACCATCACATTAAAAGGACCAGGTATCAAATGTCACTTCAATTCTCAACAGCAACAACAGAAGCTAGATAACAATGAATATAATTTCTGCATTTCAATTAATCCCACTCTAGAATCCCAGCTAAACAACTAGGTGAGGATTCAGAACAAAGAAATTTCCAGACATTCAAGTTCTCAAAAAATTGACTTCTCATGTACCCTTTCTCAGAAAGCTACTGCAGAATACGCTCCATTAAAACCAGGAGGAAAACCAAAAAGGAAGAAGACATGGGATCTAATACATGAAAGAGGTGAAGGGAATTCTTGTAATGATAGTGAAGATCTCAGAATGATGGCTGTGAAGCTGAACTAGAGTAACTAGTTCAGATTAGAATTGTTAACTGCTAAGGGCATCAAGAAAGGCATTAGGAAAAAGAGAGAGGAGAGAGGAATTAGTGTATTTCAATTACTAAAATTAGTTTTATGGCTTTGTTGAGGCTGAATTAGTGAGCTAATGATAACCTAAATAAATCACAAAAAAGGCAATTAAAATTACCCTAAGAAAAAAATTACAAGTGAAAATTTAATCATAATGTAGAGTAAAATGGGTCACCTGTGAATATTTAAATAATCAATATAAATGGTGATTAATTTAACCCAATATTTTGATATAAAAATATTGGGAAGATAGGGGAAAGGTAAATTTTTATGAGGGCTATGGTGTTGGGGTTAGAGGGAGGACTATGAGAGAGCTATACCCTCATCCTCTGGAAATTGAAAAACCAAATAAAATGATATGAGTATGTTATCTGTTAGAAGAAATAGGTGAAGTACCTGAAAGTGGTTGCCTCTGGTAAGGGAGAACCAAAGATGGGTAAGTAGGGCAGAGGGTGCTTTTCCATGTTAAGTCCTATAATTCTAATATACTTTTTAAACTATAATAGTTATCCTTTTAAATAAGAAGGTCAAGAGCAAGCATGTCAAACTCACGGCCCACGGGCTGCATGCCTCGTTAATTTGGCCCATGTTAGCCTTTGAGCTTGACATACTTGGTCAAGAGATTAGGCTCTTGATGAGAGCGGATGTTTGATTTCAAAACTGGAGACACAGAGATGAAAAATTCCAGTGGATCACAATGACGTATGGATGATACGGAGTAGACATAACAATTACCTTCACTGATCTTTAAATTGTAACAGCCGCCCGCCCACCCCCATCAATCACTCTTCTATGTTGTAACTTGAAGACCATAGTTTTGTTTTATTTTTCCCCTTATAGATAAGTTGCCCCTTATAGACAAAAGTTTTAATTTGAAAATCACTCCTAAGTAAGACGTTATTATCTTACTGTTTCTACTCTTAAAGATAGAAAGGTGCGTAAACAAAGCTGAAGTCCTTGCAGAAATGTTCATGGTGGGGGACGGATGGCACAGGAGATGCTTCTAAGGCAAACGACTCAGAAGCACTCTATGTATAAGCATGATCAGGAAGGCACTGTATTTACAACAGGCTTACAGCTATTGCCAAAACATGTGAGTGATACCAGTAAACCACAGAACAAATTTCCATGACAACAAAAATAATGATCCCAGATCATCATTCCAGAAAGGGGGCCAAGCCCACTCCACACGGAGATGACATATGTTAAGGGCTGGAATCCCTTTCGGACTATGAGAGCTAGCCTTGGCTGTCACGGGTATCATTATTCACTCTCCCGTTCGGCATCAACGTGCCTTCTCTTTGCCAAGCATTCCAAACATCACTCCTTCAGTGCCAGGGTTAGAGCTGCTGGTGCTGTTTCCCTCTATGAAAAGGAAGCTGTCTCAAATGGGAAATAATGTGCCCACAGAAGAATTTGGACTGTACTAGATGCCTAAAGATCCAGCAAATTTCTTCTCCCTTTGTCAAAATAATATCCTATGGACCTTCATTTACAATTGGAATAATCCAAAGAATGCTTCCAGGAGGTAAACAAACACTTGTCTTAGTGCTGACAACATGCCAGGCACAGTGGTAGTTACTAAAGAGACAAATACAAAGACACTACGAGGAGGTCACAATCTAATGACAGCCCAGAGACATCTATATATATAAAAGCCTAAGTGACCGGCTGACTGGCCAGTAGCTATGATGTGCACTGACCACCAGGGGGCAGACATTCAACACAGTAGCAGAAACCAAAGGCATGGAAACATGGAACAGACTGATGAATCTCAGAGGGAAGGGAGAAGGGGGGAGGGCTGGAAGAGATTAACCAAAGATCTTATATGCATACTAGAGGCCCAGTGCAAGGATTTGTGCACCGGTGGGGGTCCCTCAGCCTGGCTTGTAAGGATCAGGCCAAAACCAGCTCTCTATGACACCACCCGAGGGGTCCCAGATTGCAAGAGGGTGCAGGTCAGGCCAAGGGACCCCACTGGTGCACAAATCTGTGCACCGGGCCTCTAGTATGAATAATAAGGGAACACAATAGTGATTAGAGACATGAGCAGAGTGCTGTGGGAACTAGCACCTAGGAGACAATGGGGCTAAATTTCTATGGGACCAATAAGTTCTGTAGGGTTTTCACACCCCACATGTGTAACAGATTCCCACAGAGAGGAGTGCATTTTCCTTCTGTACAATGATTCAGGCCATGGCTAACTGACCATCTGTCAGACATGCTGTAGATGGGAATTCCCCCCAAGTGAGAGGTTGGATTAAGTGTTCTTTCAAGTCCCTTTCGAGTCTAAAATCATAATTCCATGAGATCAGCAAAGGCTACATCAGTAATAGGAAGCTTCGGAGAGGAAGGGAAACTTGGAACTAAGTCCAAAATGACAGCCCGGCTCTAAATAAACAGAAGACAGAGCATAAGATATCTGGTTGCATTCCTTTTCATTACTCGTATGTCAGGTCAGTCTGCAAAACAGCTTACTGGGGTCAATAATTAGCGCAAACAGTAAGAAGTCTACATCTACTTGAAAACTGGGAAGTATTTTACTAGAATTCTGTATTTTACTAGAAAATACTGGATAGCAAGCTTTTCTGAATCACATGTTTAAGAAAACCATTTTCACAAAACCTTAACAATACTATTTAACATACTGACAGGCTTACTGCATTAAGCTCCCAATAACTGCACAAATACACTAATGAAACAAGAGCATGCCAAAATATCCGGCATGGGTTTGCGCTGCTCTTTGATGAGGAACTTAAACAGCCAGCCCTGAAACTGACATAATTTAGCTACGTTTCTCCTCAGCTTAAACAACACTGTGATTTTCCACTTAAAGCAATTATCTTCCCTCTTCTGTCGCCCCTTGCTGCCTTATCACCTGTGCTCGTTTTTCTCCCACAGGCATCTTCACTTTATAACACCAAGCAAGTACAGCAACCTCAGAGAGTTAGCCAAGAACACATTTAAAAGCCCAGAACTGAAATGTCTTTCAAAAGTTCCCCAATAAACCCAATACATAGCCTTTAGGCAACAAGCAAATCATTAAATTCATCAAAAAGTTAACTCTGTTGATATTCCAGTACCTCAGTACAGTCATGTGCCACCTAACAATGTTTGGGTCAACAACTGACCGCACAGACCAGAGTGGTCCCCTAAGATTATAATACAACTGAAAAGTCCCTGTTGCCTAGTGACGCATCACTCAGGTGTTTGTGGAGATGCTGGTGTAAAGAAACCTACTGTGCTGCCAGCTGTATAAAAATATAGCACATATAATTATGATCTGCACTATTACCCGATTATGATAATACACAACTACGATACTGGTTTATGTATTTACTGCAGTATACTTTTTATCATTATTTTAGAGTATATTCTAATTATAAAAAAATGTTTGCTGTAAATCAGTGCGCCATGTTATTCCTCATACGTCTCATGTTTCTGGTGTCTCTTAATTAGATCACTTTCTCTTGTGCTGGATTTAATCCTGTGTTGTTTCATAACGTAGCATACTGCACAGGCTAGCAGCCCAGGTGTGCAGTGGGCTGTACCATACAGGGCTGTGTACGGGCATTCTATGACGTTCACACGACACGGAAATCTAACCACACATTTCTCAGGATGCATCCCCATCACTAAGTAGCACATGATTTTGTATTAAACCAAAGGCTAGGATTCTCACTGAGTGTTCTTAGCAAATCATGTTATTTAAGGCGGGGGAAAAAACAGGCCGGTTATTGATGTTCATACACAGGTGATGAAAATTTAGCTAAACATAAAAAAGGGAGTGTGTGCTGGGGAAGCACTGGAGGGAAGTGCTAATAGGTGGTTTATGGCCACAGAGGGCCAGTCCAACTGCTTGGAAATAAGAGGCCGCTCATGAATGTTGGTTAATAGAAATGCTCCTTGTTAGTTCCATTATCAGACTCAGTTATTAAGAAACTACTGGTTCAATCCCCAACTTACCTCTTTTTCTGAGAGGTTCAGAGTGAGCAAGTGCAGGGACCTGGTATGGGATGACTTCCAGTCCACAGGCATTACGTTTCCGTAATTATCTGTCAGGGCATTCCAAATCCTTAAAAAGAAGAAAACTACCATCAACGAAAGTTAGCGTTCTATATGTCTTTTATTAAATAAATATCCATTTCCACCGTGAAAGAAAAACAAAAAATATCAAAGAAAAAAAAAAAAAAGCCCACTGTTTCTCAGAAAACATCAACAACGTAGAGCATCCTAAATAAGACTAAATGAAAATTGTGTAATTGGCTGACAAGAAGTCCTGAGGGAAGGTGGAGTGAAATGGAAAACTCTCCCAGGTTGATAACTGACACTTTCCATGGTAACATGTGCCAGGCACTATTCTAAACAACTTACATATTAACTCACTTACTTCTCAAAAGCAATATTGCCCTGGCCTGTGTGGCGTAGTTGGTTGGAGCATCACCCCTTGCACCAGAAGGTTGTGAGTTCCATCCCCAGGCAAGGCACAGGCAGGAGGTAACCAATCGATGTTTTTCTCTCTCTTCCTCTCTCTGTCAAATCAATTATTTTAAAAAGCCAACATTAGGAAGAACCATCATTATCCCCCCATTTTACAGACAAGGAAACTAAAGTACCGGGAAGTTGAGTCATTGCAACCTGGTAGAAGCACACTGTGCTTTAATTTCCTACAAGCTGCAAATAATATAGACTATTCCATAGAGTAAATAATCTCTCTAGCCGACCTGTTATCCCTTCTAGGAAAAAGGATTCGGTTGTAATGTTAGAGCAGGGTTGAATATCTAACTTGTAATATAATAGACCAAGGACTAAAACTGATAAAATGAAAGGGGAAAGAAAGGGAGTTCAAATATAATCCACACAGGCGATATGCAGTGAAGCTACCCCACCTCAAGCAGCACTTGTGGGAGGCAACAGAGCACTTGACGAAAATGCAGGAAAACATAGACTCGTCTCCATCTTCCTCAACGAGTCTTGGGCCATGTCCTTTAACCTCTCTACATTAGCCTCCCTTCTACAAAATGAGAGGCTTGAACAAGAAACACAGACATCCCTTCAGCTCAATTACTCTAAACATTAATTTAAATGAGTTGTATTGAGTCCCAAAGCACACTAGATAAGGACAGCGAACTCCAATTTCACGACCAAAATGAAGGTTTCGGTACCAAGGTAATAACCAGCATAATAAAACATGACCTTCTATGAAAAACATTGACTTGGGAGATATAAATGACAGGAAATTTAATTGAAGTAAAGTTAAACATTACAGCTACAAGCTACTTGCCAGCTAGAGGTACGCACATACATGTCTTAAAGAAAAAACACCCTAAAATTATAACGGGTATCTAACTGTGAATAAGCCATGACATAATTAGGCGGGGGTTATTTACAAGTGTGTGAGCCATTAGGATACAAAAGCAAGACCACTGGGGCCTAGAAATAAGAACACAAGCTTCAAAATAAAGAAGCAACATGCCTGATTTAATGCATTGGGATTTGGTGCTAAAGAGATGAAGCAATAGGACCACAACTGCCAAAACCATAAAATCCCAACATGATGTTTTTGGCTTTGGAACGCACATTCGCCTCATTGAAAATGTAAACCCAAAGGCTCTGGAAAACTGGCCTGTTTACCCAGCAGATCTCCCATATGCTTGGTTTATCCCTATTCCCCTCTCTGTTGGAATCATAATCTCCTCTCCTGCCAACATGCTCACACTGGAAGCAACCCTTCTGGACTGTGAAATGAGCTGGGTTTGAGGCCCACACCTTCCTGGGTGCGAGATTTTCAAATACTGAATCACTGAGTATACACCTAAGCCTGGCCAGAAACCCCAGTAGGATATGCTCTAGTAGGTGAAGAAAGCCCAGAGTTTTGGGGGATGGCTTGTCTGCCCCTTCATACATGAGGCCGTGATAAAAGGACAAGTGGACTGGAATGCTCACCTAGCAAAAGTAACTGTGACTGAATTTGATCTGTCCAGAAGGGGCAGGACAATCAATAGTCCTCTATCTCCACCAAAGTCAGGACAATTGTAGTTGGAAGTAAGTAGGGCTCACTGAAGTGAAAGATTTCTAGAATTCTCCAGTTAAGACCGGACTTGCCTTCATCCTTATCGCCAAGGATTACGAGCAGTCATAAACAACTGGCGAAACAGCTCTTTCCAAGGTCAAAGTCCCACCAACATTGAATCCTACCGGAGACCCTTCTAGCGTAAAGCCTTAGCAGATAAGCACAATCCCTGTATTTAACCAAAACTAAAACTGGGACCCAGAAAAGTTCAATAAAATGCCCGAAGATATTCAAGGCAGTATCTGAGGGCAAGAATTCTCAACTCTCCCTGGAGAAAGGAGCATGAAAGGGACTCTAACAAGCAATGCGAAGCAGATTTATGCAACAGAAAGGGGATAATGAGAGTAACCAGCTCAGGCCCTGGGAAAGAGAGACTTCTCATCATTCCTAAGTCAAGCCACACAATTACCAACATGTCATCTACTAAAAACCATTTTCAAGAGTAACAAAAATTGTTTTTAAGTTTTTCATCATCCTAAGATTTAAGCAAAGGCTAAAACACACTACTTTCCAGACAGAACAGGTGAAACAAAAAGGAACTTTAACTATCTGTGTACGAACCACTAATCTGTTTTGAGAGGTTACTCTTGATAAACCCAAACTCGTAATAAGTATAATTTTAAAATCCAGAATATGTCCTGAGTCTAGTGATTCAGAGTATATAATTATATATATACTGTGTATGTGTATATATATATACACACTTAATACTGTCTTCTTTTGGGGAACAGAATTTTTAAAATGTCACATATTGCCACTGAGTGCATATCTTTGTGTACAACATCCAATCATAAATTCCTCCCTCTACACCTGAACACTGTACAAAGGTAAAATTAAACAATACAGTCTCCAAACATAGCTGGGCCCAAACCACTGCTAAGTCATGCTTACAGGCACCCATTCCCAACCCCCCCTTCTCAAGCTTCCTACCTTATTCCTGATAATCTGCCTCACAGAGGAAAGGAGATCATCAAGCTAGAAGCCCCTTACTAAGCCCATGGAGCTTTATCTCATGAGAGTTCTTCCCTAAACTCCATTCTCTCCATCCCACCAATGTTCTGAAAACCCATCCACACCCACGTCCTCAGTTATTTACGCCAGTAATTTCACCCTCAGCCTCTCCAGGGGCGCCTCTCCCTGACATTACATTTGCTGAAGTTTTTTTACTCTCACCATTTTTAACCCCCTTTTGGTCCTGTGGTACATAATCACAATCCTTACTTAACCAAATTATAATTGGGACTCAAAGTGGTTAAAAGAAAGTGCCCCCAGGAACTCTATCTCTTCCTTCTCCCAGCTCTCATAAAACCCTGTGAATTCCCCATTGTTACACTTAGATAATTCGGTAATAATTACCAATTTATGCATTGGTCTTCCCCACCAGAACAGAAGATCCCAGCTATTCCTAAGCACAGCTCTTCCTTTTTGCTTCTGTGGCAGCCTGCACCATACCTGGGCTCTCAGGTGGACCCAATAAATTGCTGTGGCTTAATGCTGCTTCAACACTGGTACCTTTGCACGTGCTGCATCCTCAGAGCTAGAATGCTAGGCCTTTCTTCACCTGCCAAGCAAACTCCCACTCCCACCGGGATCCAATTTTCCCGTTTCTTTCTCTATCAAGTCTTTCCTGGCTCCCCACCACACACACACACCCACACACACGCACGCACTTTTAAATCTCCTAAATGTTACACATCTATCCACTAGAGCATTTGTCACACCCAGACAAATATGTGTTTACAAATCTAGCTCCCAGCCTAGGTTGTGCCCTACGTATGCCCAGTGCGAAGCAGCCTCAGGCACTTAACGGACTGGGTAACTGCTGCTGAATGAATGAATGGCTACACCTGAGCCGAGGAGGTCCTGCCTCTAGACGGGCTCTACAAGGAGACTCCCGCTCCCCCAAGCCAGGGTCGGTTTCACGGCAGGAGGCGGCGGCGGACAGTGGCGGGGGTTTAAGGTGGGGCGCGAGGCAGCAGGGGGTTTAAATCGCCGGCTCGCAGAGGCCGAGGGCCCCGGGGCGGGAGCAGGGCGACGGGGAGGGGCGGGGACTCGCGGCCCAGGAGACGGAAGGAGGGCGCGGGGCGGAGCCTGCCGCCGGGGTCCCGCCGGACAGCGGACCCCGGGCCGGCGGACGGGGCGAGGGCAGGGGAGGCTCCCGCCCGCTCCCGGCCGGGCCCGCACTCACTCGTCCCCCTGCAGGAGGCTGCGCTCGGTGATGGGCCGCACGGCCGCCCTCGGGGGCTCGGCGCCCGGACCCGAGGGGCGGAAACACAGGCTCAGCTTCTCCTCCAGGCTGCGGGCCAGCGCCGGAAAGCCGCCGCCTGCCCCGCCCGGCCCGGGCGCGGCCTCGGGGCCCGCGCTGTGGTTCTCCTGGTCCTGGGGGCTGCGGGCCGGGTCCTGGAACTCATAGAAATCCTGCCAGTCGCCGTCCGCCGCCATCGCCGCCGGTGCGGACGCGCCCGCCCCGCCCCGCCCCGTCCCCGGGCCCCGCCCCCGCCCCCGCCCCGTCCCCGGGCCCCGCCCCCGCCCCCGCCCCGTCCCCGGGCCCCGCCCCGCCCCGTCCCCGGGCCCCGCCCTCGGAACCCGCCCCGCCCGCTGGCCCCGCCCCATCCAGGGGCCGAGGCTGGGGTCCGCCCTGGGCCGCCCAGCCTGGGGCTTCCCTCTGCAGAATCTTCGCGGGGTCGACCGAGGGTCCCCACAGAAGGGTTAACCTGAACTGCATTAGGTCACTGCGTGTAGTCTCTCTGACTCAGAAACAGCCTCCTTCTTGGCTTCTCTAGTGGGTACCGGGCCTAAATGAGGCCAAAGTAAAGAGCTTCTTTAACCTTGCGACCTAGCGTCAGATTGTGCACAAGTCACTTACCCAGGGTAGCCTGCTTCTGTTGTATCTTTCCAACCAGAACAACAGGCCGAGTCAGTTGGAAATGCTTAAGTGATACCGAAATGCATTCCACAAATACCTAAGGTCTCCCACGTGCGAAGCTCGTGCTAGCTAGACCCTCTGGAACATGCAAAACTGAATAGCTATGTAAGTTAATATTTGCAAAGCACTTAGAACAGTGCCTGACAGTAAGTACTATATCTGTATGTTACATAAGTTATACACAGCTGCTCCTTACAAGAGATTTACAATGCAGTTGTAGCGATAAGACCAAAGGAAACCATTTATACGAAATAAAAGGTATGAATGGGAGTAGAGAGTTACTAAGGGGCATATAGGTTCAGTTTTGCAAGATGGAAAGAATTCTGGCAATGGATGGTTGCACAAAAATATGTATGTACTTAATGCCCTGAGTTGTATACTTGAAATGGTTGCGATGGTAATTTTATATGTATATTGCCATAATAAAAGAAAATGGGGAGAAAAGTACGTGTGATTATAAGAGTGAGTATGTAGAGGCAATATATACCTAGGACAGTTACCAGACAGGGTCTGCTGCCTGGAGCACATGGTAGCCAATACTATGGCACTAGAGAAAAGAATGGAGATTAATCTGTCAGTTGACTGCAAGAAGACCGGAGGTAAGGCTCAAATCTGTCTGATCCAAGATTTGGGGTGGGGTTTTAACAAGTGGCACTTGAAGGGTTCACAAGAGTTTGTATCCAAGGTCTAAACTTTGGTTCTGGGTCTTGTTAGAATGGTTTGAGCTGGTCTACAGCTAAAGAGGTTGATCGGGGTTGATCTTTGGCCTATAGTAATCACATACTTCATTTAGGAAGTGGGCCGTGGTTGGATCATGAAAGATGAATTTATACTTTGAAAAATAAATCTGAATAATATAAAGTAAGATTTTCTCAGTATGCTTTGTCCATGTCTTGGAAACCTAGCCTCAAGAATACATGTTAATACCAAAATTTCCTGTTTACTATGCCAAAGAATGTTGTCTCTTATTTCAATGATTTGTTCCATATTAACCAAAATACATCTATCACTGAGCCTAAGAAACTGTTGATAATTATTTAAAGGCAATATTGTTCCCTCTCTATTTTCATGAGCAGATGTTGTGCTCTACTTGGCCAACAGCTAGAACTAATTACCCCATGGTTAATAGCTTTGGGGTTGATGAGAAAATAGTCTAGCTTAGCTAATATTCACCTATCTGAACATTACTCAAAAGTGATGCTCTAAAACAGCGGTCGCCAACTGGTGGTCTGCGAACCACTGGTGGTCCATGAGGTCTGAAAGGTTGGTGACCACTGCTCTAAAAGTATCAAAGATCTATTTTTCTCTATGTATTTACACACACAAAGTTAGGAAACACTATCAAAGTGACTCGGACTCTCCTGATTAGGTACACAGCTAAAGCAAAATTGTGGGTTTTTTCCTTACTGGTATCTCCATTTGTCTGTGCAGTATGTGTTAGTGGAAATGAAAATTACTTACTCTTAGGACTCACATGTAACACTGTCAAATTTTTCACCTGCTTACACATAAATTGCTACTGGTTTAGCTTTAGTGGTCTCAGGATTTTATTTTAGTGAAAATTTCCACATAGAATGCTTTTTACTTTTAATTAAATTCAAATTACCTGATATCACCCCAGACACTTTGAATACTCCATTGCAGCCCTGGCCAGGTGGCTCAGTTGGTTGGCGCATTGTTCAGCATCCCAAAAGGCTTCAGGTTCAATTCCCTGTCAGGGCACATACCTGAGTTGCAGGTTCAATCCCTGGTGGGGGCATGTATGGGAGGCAACCGATTGATGTTTCTCTCTTTCTCTTTCTCTCTCTCAAGTCAATACAAACATATCCTTGGGTGAGGATTTTTTTTTTTTAATTATGAATACTCCATTGCAAAACACAAGATTTAAATCACTTTTCTTAGTCAATTTATTTTTGCACACCTATAATAACCTTGGCACTCAACACAATCTATAAAAGTCCTCCAAAAGAAGATGCCTATGAGAAAACTGATTATACTACTTTGTGGGAACAGTGATGAGATTAGCAAGAAACTATAGTGTGAAACAAATTGTTAGTTGGTGCTTTTGTAGATTTTAAATAATTACTGTAAACATGAAAGAGTAACAGGAGAAAACAGTTTAAATTGTAGGATGCTTGTCACCAGGTAAATTATAACGAAGCAACATTTCCCTTCAATGCCTTCCACACACCTCTCCTTCCCTGTGGTACCTGGAAACTGCAAGCTGCTCCACGGCTTCCAGGACAACCATCGGTCGACCATGTCCCACCCAGGCTGCGGCCCCATTTCCGTATGCGCACCCTTTCCTTTCACTCCTGGTACTTGAGTCGGACTGCTTTTTAAAGAGAACCCAGCTCCCACTTACTATTCCCTAAACCCCTCACTTAGTATTTCCTGTCAGCAACCTTAGCTGACTTTCCAGCTATCTCATTCCCATGAGCCGAAGTCTAGCTTCCTAACATCGCCACCGATCTGGCAAAGCCACAGGCTTCCTGCCACTCTTGCTTCACCTGCTTGGCTCAGTCCAACAACACGCACTTCAGTATACGGCACATAGCTGGATTCTACTAATTTGTCCTCCCAAATCTATTTATTTCAGACCTTTACTTCCCACCAACTCCTGGAGAAGAGATGAAAGAAGGTGTAAGCATGTTTGCTCACTCATATATTTAGAAAAGTTAACCTATAGAATTAATTTTCAGCACTTGGTTCAAAATTAGAAAAAGAATATAAATTACTTTTAAAGAGTGCTTCCTAGCCCTTGAGCCTATGTTCATATTAATCATTTAGATGGGAAAAGTTCTCTTGTTTAACAAGGTATGTAAATTTTCCACATATATAGTATATCACAGTGACAGTTAAGTAACCAAAAATGGAAATGTACATTATTCAGCATATAGACCACCTAAGGGTATAATTAATCAGAAAATATTAAAATTGCAAAAAAAAAAATAAATACAGGACCTACTGAATACAGGACCAGAAAAATATCTGACTGTCAAAGTACCACATATAGTGAATGTGGAAAGCGTTATAAAGCAATAGTAAGACAATGAGAAGGCACACAAGTGAAAATTTCTTGAGAAAAGCTAAGCTAATAACTAATTTTATTCAATAACTAGGGCTATAAAAAGAGTTAATGAAACAAAAACAAAAAGAATCTAGAAATCCATATGGTGAGTCAAGAATTTAAGGAACGGTGGCTTGCTTGCCAAAAAGGGAAAGGGCACTATCTTTCCATTTTAACTCATTTCAAAAAAAAAAAAAAGAATCCAGAAACTAGCATAGTCAAAGATCACAACTTAGCTTTTATTTGTAAAGAATCGTTAATCCTATTATGCAAGTTTGATGGGGATGGATCTTCATTTTAATGATCAGATCAGGGTCATGATTAGGTGAAACCATCCTGAGCAGAAGCGGTGCCAGGCCACCCAGGGGTGTAGCCAGGTGACCGACTGGCCATGGCCGCACCCTTCCAAAGTATCAGAACAGCTGGGAGGGGAAGACACTGCCAAACATGGGCCTGGCTGTGTTCTAGGTGTCAAATGCTGGTCTTGGGAAAATGAACGGAAACAGCTTTCAGCAGGAGTCACTTACCTAACATTATGATAGTTCTAACAATGGAACTTGCAAGGACCCTGTCATGGAAAGCAGCAATGAACACCCTGAACAGCCTGAATTTCCTGCTTTGGCATATTCTTAATTTTCTCATCTGAAATTTAGAGTGTGCAGAATTGAATACACCAAATTTGATCTATCATTTTCTTTTTGTGGACTTTCAGCGTTCTATGTGTCAAGGCATCTTGGGATGGTGAAAACTTCTATGGTCTCTTTTTTTTTCTATGATTGTCAGCACTGCGTGTCCTTACTATTCATATTACAATGGAACAAAGAACAAATGTGGAAAGTATTTTCAACAAACAAGTGGACGAGGCTGCTCTGAGTCTGAAAAAATTGTAGAATAATTTTCTTGCTTCCTTTAGGACTAGAAGTAGATATTTTATGTACCCTCATTCTGAATTCTTTGTCTCATTACCGACCTAGAGCCTTCAGGTCTAATAAGGCCTGAAAACTAATCTATAGTTTACAGAAAGCAGATCGGTGGCACCCATGTGAAGGTTTGGGGTAGGGGAGTTAACTGCAGAAGGAGACGAGGGAAACTTCTGGAGGCCTGTAATGGAAATACCCTATGACTTGATTATGACAGTGACTATGTAGGTGTATACATTTATCAAATGATAAGCTTTAAAAAAGCACATTTTATTGCATGTAAATTATATGAGTTAAATTATAACTCAATAAAATTGTTTTTTAAAAAGTGTGGCTTTATAACCAAAAAATGGAAACAACCCATATGTCCATCAACAGAAACAGATAAGCAAAATGTGCCATACGCATACAATGGAATATTATTCAGTCTTAAAGAGGAGTGAAATTCTGACAGATGTCACAATATAGATGAACCTTGAAGACATTCTGCTAAGTGAAACCAGACGCAAAAGGACAAGTACTATATAATTCCAGTTATTTGAGGTACCCAGAGTAGTCA